ACACAAATGGATAACTGTTGATTGGCCGTTTGACTGATTGATTGCTTGCTTGATTGATTGATGGATGCATGAATTGATTGATCGATTGATTGATGGGCAGATGGATGGATTGATGGATCCCTAGAATAGGTTACATAGACAGACAGACAGACAGAGACAGACGGACGGACGGACGGACAGACAGACAGAGAGGCACTAGGTCAACAACGAAAGAGTAGCACAATCGGAGTCATCGTCCTGCGGAGTCAGAAAGGATGTCAACGTCTTCCAGACCCCATGTACGCTGCAGGCCACACCAGGCAGCCTCCGTGGGCCGATGGATGGTACCTGTGGCACCGGCTCGGAGGTCGCTTTGGACTTTGGGGTGTCGAAGTTCGCAACCACCGTCTAAGAAATGATTTTGGCAGTGCCGTCGAACCATTATCATGTGCAGAGTTGCTCGCGTGCACGATTCGGTGCAAAACCCCGCAGCAAAGACATATCGCCACAGCTTCGCTGTCGGAGTTTTTGCATGGCAGCCACGCCAGGCGGGCCGTGGCAAGAACACCGTGTCCTCTGGCTTCGAGGGCCCTTGGACACGTGGCTCGGAGCAACACCGAAAGTTCTTTCAATCGGCAGGATCTCCTTCTTGTCATAGATGGCAGAAGGAGTGAGAAATGGGATGTACGACGCCAGGAACTGTGGGGGTGTCAGCGCTTCACAGATCGCTCGTCTTTTGTTACAGTTGACAGGAGGACCAGAGATCAGTCGTTTGCTGCAAGTGCCGCTGAGGCAGCCCGTCCCGCTGGAACTATGACTTCTTCGATGCTCTGCTGTCGGAAGAGTGGGTGCCTGCAAAGAGCCCGCAACCTGCCCGCACTTGCCGCACTTAGGTCATCAGGTCGTGGCACGTTCTTCACGACCAAGGTATGGCGCTGACCAGTGGCACACCAGGAATGAGACCAGCAAATTTGCTCGGACCATGCGGCTGACTGCGGACGTCTCCCTGGTTGCGGACAAAATCTACCGCCCGATCGTCGAGGAGTACGCCGCCGACCATGCCCAGTTCGACGCGGACTTCGCCGATGCTTGGTTCAAGCTGGTGCACCGTTCGGAAGACCATCCGCACAAGGACGACCTTGAGAAGGAAGCCGGCGTTTGCACCAGCTTTGAGTTCACGACGCTCCTGCCGTGAGCGCACTCTCACATGTACAGCCGCAAGCTGCTGCACAGCTGGGCACACGATGCACAGCGCACCTCAGCGTAGGGCTTTCGGTGCGGTTGTAGGAGGAGCATTGTGTAACATGCCTTGGTACAGCAGCACTCAGTGTAGCAATGTCTGCATTTTCCAATTCAGAGTACGTTCTCAGAGCTTCCCTCACTAAGGGGGCCGCTGGCCCCTAGGCCCAGGCAACCACGTCAGGCATCCGACCCACCCGCTGTGAAGTGTACAGGCCGGGTGATCGCCTCCTCGCAACCTTAGCCTTGGGCGCGTAGTCAATGGGCCACGCCAAACAGAGAAAAGACATGGCCCCTTCTTCGCTGCCTGGTGGACAGGAGCTGCCGTCTCGGCTGCTCATTGGAGAGTCCAACAAGGGAAGCCCATGGTTTATTCTTCATACAATCCTCCGCAAGAGGCCATGCATGATATTCAGGGCCATACCATGGATACTGGATACTTCCTGTTTCTCTGTGCAAGAGAACCTGAAGCCCTTCACTATCCTCAAACACGAAGGCCCTTTAAACTTTAGATGTTGGTTTCAATTAGGGTACTGAACAGCAGCCTTATCGCAAACCCCGATAAAACACAATGCGATCCTAGAAGACCTTGACACAAACTCGATACACCCCATTGCACACCTTCAAGACCTAGTTAAGATTGCCATCGGATCAGAAATCAGAGGCTTGCTCGCACGTGGACGCTGCTAAGCCGCAATGCCGAGAAAGGCCTGGGCGTTTACAGGGTTGCATCGTATGGCCTATATCACGATTAATTTAACATGTGTTGTAGACCTTTTTGTCGATATTGATGGTTTAGAAGGTTTACGGTCTCCTATTTTAAACGGTGCTTAGGCCTGTTTTTCTTGTACGGCGGCTTGAAAAGCTTGGGATAGCCGCGACTAGGTAACATGTATCTGTATAATCAATGCCTATATAGGTGCCATACATAGTGAAAACGTGAAGACATCCTGACACACTCTGCGAATACCCTAGCGGCGCTTGGAATACTGCGGGTACTGTCGGTACCAGAAGCACTGCACCGTCTAAAGCTGCGGACAAGTCGGGGCCGCTGAATCACAGGGAATACTTCTAAGGTCTTGTCGTGGTTCGTGTTAACCTTTCCAAAAGTGTACCGATCGCACCAAGGCAAGGGCTTAGGTGGAGTGTTGCTCCAAGGTGCAGAAGTCAATGGAAGAAAAAAGGGCCTCAAACACAAAAAGGTCAGACTTGAGGTGTTGGAAACCAACGAGGCGACGACCTCATGAAACCGGAAAGCACGTTTTATTCGCAAGACATACGACCTCGGTGTTTTGATTTTTCCGCCATCAGTGCGCGGTCACATGAAAATTAGATGGTTGTGCATGGAAAAAGATGCTTTTCGAGTTGATGTTTCAACGGTTCACCGTGATGTTTCGCTGCATGTATTATCTTCACAGGACGAAGACTGGCAGCTCCTAGGTAGAAAGGCTCTACAATCATGGATGTGCAACAGGGTGTTCACTAGGGTGTCCGGCGTCAAGTTCAGGCCAATGTGCTGTTCGCCAGGGAACTCAGCAATACGGTCTGAGTGACCACGTAGCCACAATGTTCAGTCGGCAACTTAGGTAGATGACTCGTTTTCGGTTGTTGGATTGAGATTTAGGGTGCCGGGGTCAGGCGGCACTTCAGATGGCCGTGCAGGGACAATGCAGGAGAGCATGCGACGATCGCTCGACCGGACCTTCCGGAGAATCAAGCATAACGGGTGGGTTACAAGAAGCCAAGGCCCAAGCTCTGGAACCCACATGCCTACAGTTTGTTGGAAGCCTTGGCTTTGCTTTGTGGAGGCAGCCGCCAGCTGTTCCTGAAGCATGACCCCCACCTGCTGGGCTGGAAGGTCGGGGATCACATCGGGATGCTTTGCAGCAGTCGGACTGCAGGGTTTCGGAATTCGCATGGCCTAATAAATACTATTGAACCCTAAGGCCCAGAAAGCAAAGCCAGAAGACTGGCCCTGGGGGTTTGCACATGATCCTCTGAAAGCAATTTTGGGGTCGGTAGTACAAACATTATAGTATAATGTACCCCATTATTAAGGCCCCTACCTGATAGTCTTTGTGTTTGAAAACTCTTCCCGCCGAGGGTCGCGACGACTTCTCGGGGCAAATCTACGGAGCACCGGATTGTGGACATAGGCGCTCGGGATCCCGCAAAGGCCCCAAGTCCTTAACCAGCACGCCCTCTGTCCCTCCAACCATCCATCCACCCATCAATCCATCCATGCCCCCTGTTCTAAAAACCCTAGACTCGAAACCCTAAAAATAATTTCAAGCCACGATGGCTGTCGCAAAGCTCCGTGAGGGCCGTGCGGAGTGTTTGGTAAGGTTTTCCCCGATACCTTCACGTAAACACGTGCTCTGTCTTTGAGGGCCACTTTGTGGATTTCTATAGGAAGGCGATCTTTTATTTGTCCCCTTAGCTTTCGCAGGTCCCTCGCAAGAGTGGCGCCTTGACCTTTCCTCTGCCCGAGCAGGCTGGCTTCCTGGAGACATTTGAAACGGTCTAAGGGATGCCTTGAACCTTAGAATCCCACTCGGACACCAGCTTCCCTGAAGCCAAGCTACCTGTGTTGGCCAGGCCGGCACGAGCAGGGGCCGATATCGTTGCATGCACTTGTAGTTAGCACCTGCCAGCATCGTAATCAGAGAAGTGTCCATGCACAGTGGGCTGTACACAAGTTCCACTAGCGGTCGCGACTGCTGCAGTGCCCGGACACCCTTTGCCCGCAGGCGTTAATCGCTACGATCCTCCTGCAAATGCGATTGACGGGCCGCCCGGCGAAGTGGAAGCTCGAGGGCTTGATCCATATTGGTAGAAGGAAGCTCGCTGGTCGGGCTCTGGCTCGTTTCAGTTCTTGTGGCGAGTAGGCATCTCCATGTTCTGGTCAGAGCCACAGGATCTCTAAGTGCTAAATGTACGCACTCAATCCATAACTCCGAAGGCACGGTCTAGTAGATCCCGATGAGGTACGAAGACACTCGGTGGTCGAGTTGGTGTGCTCCTTATTGCACAGGCCGCGGGGGGAAGGATCATAAAAAACTTGGGGAAATTGGATTGTCCGATCTCGCTTTCTCTGCGAAACCGCGGATTCAAGGGCTCTACGGTGGAGCATTTTGTCATTGTTTCGGTGAAAACGAAACGACTGGAGACCAATCTGTCAACCCACGCAGTGCCTTCGTTCAGGGGACAAAGAGCCTTCCCTGCAAACCTCTAATTAGGCGCCGGACTCTTCAATCTGGAAGCTCCGAAGAGTAGACGCAGGGATTCTCTAGTAGTAGCAGTGCTAGTAGTACAACTAGTAGCACTAGTGGTACTAGTAGTACGAGTAGTAGTAGTAGTAGTAGTAGTAGTAGTCGTCGTAGTCGTAGTCGTAGTCGTAGTCGTAGTCGTAGTCGTAGTCGTAGTCGTAGTCGTAGTCGGTCGTAGT